TTAATTTCCCATGTCGGAATAAACTCATTATTCACTATTTAATTCACATCGGATGAATTATTCAAAGCCACTTAACTTCATGACTAATACTAATTACCGAACCTTGCCAAAATGGCAATTCAGACTGCTGTATAACCCGCGGTCTAATTAATTATCTATCATATTACTCAAATTGAATTACATTTGCACACATTGTTATGTTAGTTAAGTACACTGCATATACCACTTAACCGATCGAACATAAGTAATGGTATATTCAAAAATAGAACAGGACAATATGATTCAGGAGAAGACGATTTTTAAAATGATTGAACATTTATGGGGGCGTATCATTGCTGTCGTTTGACTAATAATCATTTCTATAATATAGAAATATTAAAGCGGGACAGGACTACTGTTGGGCGACATGTCATGACGTTTGCGCAAGCGCAGAAGGCATATTACGACGTCTTTAACCGCTGAGAAGTCAATATGTAAATATATTGACTGCAAATGCGCAAATCCGATTGGCTGATAGGGCTACGAGGTATAATCAAATTAAAAATAGGTTTTGCCAATCGGGTCTATAAAATAAATCAATGACCTTGTCTGTACGTAGGTCCTTAAATAACTCATGTATTCGTCTGTTCATATGACAGGTGGTAAGTGGGATTCGTCCGGTGAAGGTCACATTGGTATTGGTAGTGATGGAGAGGTACTAAGTTTCCCAGCTGACAGCTTCAACAGAACCCTTCGTGTCACTACAATTGACGTAGGTTTTCTCTACTATTGTATTACAGCATGACAATGCAGATGTTTACACTGCGCAGTTTAATGTTGACTGGTTGTAATATTTGTTTAAAGATAAATACTTTTAGCAAGTTTGTTTTCTCAAAGTCAAAGTAAAAGCCTGTACATATGTTGTTAAGCTAACTGTTTAATTTTGAGTTTAATATGAACGTGAAAAATAATCCGTAGATAAATGTGTTCTGGAAGAATCCGGGATAAAACCCAGGACCACATTGTTTGACATGCGCATTCGTTTCTATGACAATGTTACAATGTCACTCAATCTACTGCTGAAAAAAATGATGACAGGGGATCCATGAATTTAGAACATTTTTTGTCGTAAAATCATTAGCATATTGTGAGGTCAATAGCATATCGTTAGGTCAATAACAGATATTGAAGTTAGTAGCATATCGTAAGGTCAACAGCACATTGTGAGGTCAGTAGCATATATTAAAGTCATTAGCATATCGTAAGGTCAACAGCACATTGTGAGGTCAATATCACATCTTAAAGTCATTAGCATATCGTGAGGTCAACAGCATATTGTGAGGTCAGTGGCATATCGTGAGTTCAATGGCATATCGTGAGTTCAATAGCATATCGTGAGGTCAATAGCATATCTTGAAGTCAATCAGCATATTGTGAGGTCAATAGCATATCTTGTAGTCAGTGGCATATCGTGAGGTCAATAGCATATCGTGTGTGAATATTTCTGCATTGTAGAACCTTTGTCATGCCTTGACATTTTTCTTTGTAATCATACACATTTTTTTTTCTTTGACAGGACGATCCATATTTTATGCTTAAGAAAAATGCAGATGAATTCGAAGGAATGGACAAATACGAAGGATACTGTGTAGACTTGATGGCAAAGATTGCCGACGTCCTGAAAATTAAATATGAATGGCAAATTGTGGAAGACGGTAACTACGGTCGTCTCAACGAAGACACGAATAGATGGGATGGAATGATAGGAGAACTCATAGAAAATGTTCGTTTTTTTTCTTTTTTGTATATATATTGCACAAACTCTCTAGTTTTGTAGTGTTGCGTTCAGTGAGTGTGTGCGTTTGAAAACAACAGTAGATTTCATTTAAATTCAAATGTTTGACAGTGATTGGACCAAAAGCTAAACATTTTCTACGCCAATAATGAGCTCGCGTACCTTCGAGTGAATAAAAAAATATGACTGCACATTCATTCAAAATAAGGCGCTTGTTGATTGGATAATGCTGCCATGATACCATTTCTGGGTTATTTCAATTTTAACTGTAACATCCATTTTGACTTATAAAAATGTATATTTATAAAATATTTATAATAGTCTCAGCTTTTTGTTCTTGAAGCGGAGAGTTCGTCACCTGCGCACGCGCACGCTAAAACCCGAAGGCTTACGAGTAGACGCTTCTCTGTAAACAACGACACGCTACGGCCGTTTGCCGCATGCGCAGGTGACTACTCCCGCGCTTTAAGAGTATGACACCACAGGTGTTTCTCAATAATCATGAGTGTGTTTAAAGTTCTGCTTTATTTTACTTTTATTTTCAGAAAGCGGATTTAGTTGTGGCACCTTTGACTATCACTTCTGACCGTGAACCTTATGTAGAATTCACAACACCATTCATGGGTTTGGGTATCAGTATCATGATTAAGAAACCGCAAAATACCAAACCAGGCGTCTTCTCGTTTCTACACCCTTTATCTCATGAGATCTGGATGTGTATCGTGTTTGCCTATGTTGGTGTTAGCGTGGTGCTCTTCTTGGTTAGCCGTTTCAGTCCCTATGAGTGGCACGCAGTTGATGCTCCGCCGCCATTGTTTGACGACACTGGGGATAGGCAGGAGATGGCCAACGATTTTGGAATCTTTAACAGTCTTTGGTTTTCACTGGGTGCATTTATGCAGCAAGGATGTGATATTTCTCCAAGGTCGGTTTTTTGAGTTTCTGTTTTCTGTGGAGTGCATTTACGGTCTGTGCACCTTCTATAGCATGGTGAATATAGCTAGTGAGCACCCGGGAGTTAGCACATTTGCACCGTAGCGGGCGGGTGTGATTCATTGTGTGTGTGCTTGGTGTTGTCATGTTCTCAGATGTTTCACTGCAACTGCGGCGGTATTTTTGCTTGCTTTCTCTCAGCTATAGTTTTTATATACACCATGCATGCAGCCGAGACCGTAAAATGCATTTTTTTTTATTTTACTTTCCACACTTCGCAAAGGGGCCACCTTAGGGGGATATCCATTCTTGCTGCATAGCATTTTACGGTCACGTGATTCGTGGAATGGTGCATATAAAAGCACAAAGCTGTTTTTGCCAAATGTTTTGCTCTGTTTTTTGTAAGCGTAGTTGTAGTTTTCTTTTTTACTAGTTGTATTAACTTGTAACAAAATGTTTGCTGTGTTTGGGTTTCATGTGAAACACAATAGCACCCGTTGCTTGCACTTCACTGTAGTTTGCTTATGTATAAGCACGTGCCACTTACACAAGACCAACTAACTCAGTGATCGTTTTGTTAACATTAACAATAAACACGCGCAACATAAATTGAAATAAATAAACTCAGTGAACGTTTTCATAACATTAAAACGCACTCCGAGGGCGCACACCCCCACTTTAGAAGCAAACTCCGTATCCCCGCTCGTATATTGTATTATTACACAGTATTAGTAACACATCCTTTAAAATGTATTATCTCCAGATTTTTTATAAAATTTAATCTCTTGATTTGGGTTTGACAGTCTTCAATTTGTTAATTCCAAATTCCGTGTTAATCAAATCTCTAGCAAGATATAATTGCTTGGCAATCGATTTCATGATAATCCATCGAAAACTTGTTGAAAATCATTTTCCAAATTGTTGTTTCCGTGGCAACCAGATCTGTATCACTATCAGAAGTCTAGACTAACCTTCCTAGACAAATCATGACAATTGATGAAAAAGTTATTAATGAAAAATAATTTCTGAAGTTGATGTTTCCATGACAATCGGATCAACATCTCTACCGAAATATTCACGTTTGGTCTCCATGTCAGTGGCAATAACATAACAACAGCATCGATAACCTTTGGAGTTGTAAATGAAAAATCATTCCTGAAATGGCTGTTTCCATGGCAATCGGGTTCACATATCTGTCAACCTCTCTTACGAATTTCTGATAATTCGTCAATAATTGTTTGAGTTTTCCTACTTAAAACAACCCAAAAATTGTTAATCAATACTGAACATCGTCTTTATAAACAAAATATCTGCAAACCTCGACTAAAAAATAAAATATTGAACAGAACTATTCGGTTTTGACATTCAATCTGACTGATAAATAAACTAAATTGTATTTTCCATGTTTTGAACTGAATCTAACTTAAGCCACTGAATTTCTTTATGTAAATACGTTCGAAAATATATTTGAATAATGAATGTATCCCGGGTGTAAAGCTCTAATTTTCTGGCAACAAAGTCGTTGGCAACATATTTCTAAAATGTTTTGCAGTTTGTTGTTGTTTAAACAAGATATTCGTTAATCATAAAAGTAACATAAACTATTTACCTGTATATATAGCATATAACGATACAAAATGCATAAACAAATGTCACTGTTTTGACAAATGGTTCTGGTGACTAACCCATGTGGTAAAGGCACACATGCGTGGTAGGTATCAAAATGTGTTCACATAACAACTAACTGTAACATATAATGTAGTACAAAACATATGCCCACTTTACGTTACAAACTAATAAATAAAAATAAAATAAATACTACTTCTTATTATTAAAACTACGTTTATTATTATTATTATTATTATTTAGATCGCTATCAGGTCGTATAGTTGGAGGTGTGTGGTGGTTTTTTACTCTAATCATCATATCTTCCTACACTGCCAACCTGGCTGCTTTTCTTACCGTTGAGCGGATGGTGTCGCCAATAGAGTCAGCTGATGACTTAGCCACACAGACTGAGATATCCTATGGCACGTTAACGTCTGGGTCTACAACGTCTTTCTTTGAGGTAAGGACGCCTTATTATTGGCAGTAAATGATCTGATATATTTAGGAATGTCTAATTTAGGTTAGAACTTAACTGAACGTGGCCGTTGATGTTGACATTAATCCCCCCTCCCACAAAGCTGTCTTTCATGTGTAGCCTATCGTGTTTTACCATAGCGAAATAAAGTTACGATTTGTCAAATTTGAGTCCATACAGGCGACACTGTACAGTGCCACTAGACCAAGGCGACACTGTACAGTACCACTAGACTAAGGCGACACTGTACAGTGCCACTAGACCAAGGCGACACTGTACAGTGGCACTAGACTAAGGCGACACTGTACAGTGGTTCTAGACCAAGACGACACTGTACAGTACCACTAGACCAAGGCGACACTGTACAGTGGCACTAGACTAAGGCGACACTGTACAGTAGTTCTAGACCAAGACGACACTGTACAGTACCACTAGACCAAGGCGACACTGTACAGTGCCACTAGACCAAGGCGACACTGTACAGTGCCACTAGACTAAGGCGACACTGTACAGTACCACTAGACTAAGGCGACATTGTACAGTGCCACTAGACCAAGGCGACACTATACAGTGCCACTAGACCAAGGCGACACTGTACAGTGCCACTAGACCAAGGCTACGCTGTATAGTGTCACTAGACCAAGGCGACACTGTGTAGTGCCACTAGACCAAAGCGACACTGTACAGTGCCACTAGACCAAGGCGACACTGTACAGTGTCACTAGACCAAGACGACACTGTACAGTACCACTAGACCAAGGCGACACTGGACAGTGCCACTAGACCAAGGCGACTCTGTAAAGTGCCACTAGACCAAGGCGACAATATAGTGTCACTAGACCAAGGCTATCTTGTATAGTGCCTCTAAACCAAGGCTACACTGTGCAATGCCACTAGACCAAGGCGACACTGTACAGTGCAACTAGACCAAGGCGACACTGTACAGTGCCACTAGACCAAGACGACAATGTACAGTGCCACTAGACCAATGCGACTCTGTAAAGTGCCACTAGACCAAGGCGACAATATAGTGTCACTAGACCAAGGCTATCTTGTATAGTGCCACTAAACCAAGGCTACACTGTGCAATGCCACTAGGCCATGGCGACACTGTGTATTGTCACTATACCAAAGCAACACTGTACAGTGCCACTGGACCGAGGCAACACTGTACAGTGTCACTAGACCAAGGTGACACTGTACAGTACCACTAGACTAAGACGACACTGTACAGTGCCACTAGACCAAGACTATCTTGTATAGTGCCACTAAACCAAGGTTACACTGTACAGTGCAACTAGACCAAGGCGACACTGTTTAGTGCTACAAGGCCATGGCGACACTGTACAGTGCCACTAGACCATGGCGACACTGTATAGTGCCACTAGACCATGGCGACAATGTGTAGTGCCTCTAAACCAAGGCTACACTGTACAATGCCACTAGACCAAGGCGACACTGCACAGTGCAACTAGACCAAGGCGACACTGTACAGTGCCACTAGGCCATGGCGACAATGTGTAGTGCCACTAGACCAAGCCGACACTGTACAGTGTCACTAGACTATGGCGACAATGTGTAGTGCCACTAGACCAAGCCGACACTGTACAGTGTCACTAGACCATGGCGACAATGTGTAGTGCCACTAGACCAAAGCGACACTATACAGTGCTACTAGATCAAGGCAACACTGTGTAGTGCCACTGGACCAAGGCGACTCTGTGTAGTGCTGCTAGACCAAGACGACACTGCGCATGGCCACTCGACGAAGGCGACATTGTGGACTGCCACCAGACCAAGGCGACCCTGTAAGATGTTCCAACCCAAGGCGAACATGTTTTTTTTTTTAATATGACTGTTATCATCAACAATTGTATATCGAAAACTGAATGTTTAGTGCAGTGTATATTATGACCTGTCACATGATCATTCTGTCAGCCCACAAATTAACGACACATATAATTGCTGTAGAGCAACACCAATTCATTGTGTGTTTTCGTCTCCTTCTTCCTTTTCAAGAAATCTACTGTACCAACGTACACACGAATGTGGGCCTATATGAGCACTACACAGCCATCGGTCTTCACAAATTCCATAAAAGAAGGTATTGAAAGGGTTAGGCGCCAAAAAGGAAGATATGCTTTCCTATTGGAGTCAACGATGAATGAATACATCAACCAACGTAAACCATGTGATACAATAAAGGTTGGGAACAATCTGAACTCAAGA